CCAAATCATACTGACCAAATAAGCAACTCCGGAGCAAATGGAGCGCATCAACACCTTCCACTGAGCAGATAGCCTACTTGGAGGACTCTCAACATGTCTATCGGGACCTGCAGACATGAAATGTAGCATCCCCAGGTAAAAGGTACATCAGTACAAATAATGTACCGAGTATGTAAGGAATAAAAATCAGTAAATAAAAGACATAAGAGAAATATGGAGTAAAAGACTCAACATGTAAGTCTGAATAGATTTGTGAATTATTTCATATTTATAATGTCATGCCCATATGGTCATGGGTCAATGCACATGTATAAATGAATGAAATGCATAAGAAATACATTAATAAGATTTCTCGGAATATTATAAGATCAATATGCCTTTTGGATAAACTTTATCAACTGCGTATTTTTCTGAGACCCATGAACATATGATAGAATAATAGGACACATGGGGAATCAGAACATATGCATCTCTAGTATTTCTATGAATAGAGTCATTTATAAAAGTTGTGCATTTGCTCGTTTCGTTTGTATCGTATGGATCATGCCAAAAGGAAAAAAGGGATAGACTTAACATACCTGAGTCGATTCTCTTGACAATCCTTCCAACATCCGTCAAACAAGACAAAACATGTAGCGGTGGATCGAAGTAGGGAAAAATCCGTATGATATTCTTGAGACAGATTATACCGTACTCCCTTAGAATCCTAATTTCACGTTGCTATAATATTAATTAGTCTCGTATGAATTTCTTAAGCTCTATTATTTACATTGTAGGGATATATGTATATCCCTTAAGTGATTTAGATGGGTTTTTAAGCTTAGAGGATGTGAGGCCCACTTTAGAGATGACTTGGCCATAAATTCCTTTAAAAGTGCCACCTTGCTACATGGTGTAAGAGTCATTTACTTGGGCTTTATCCACATTTACTTGCTGCCACGTTGGGGGCTTATTAAGCCTATCCAAATATGCTAATTTAATTAGTTAATCTCCCACTAAAAATAAATAATTATCCACATAATTAAGAATTATCTCAAATTACTTTAAATACTACTCACTTTTAACACACTTTATATACCTTACTATCATAGTCATGTGGTACCTTGTATGACACAAGTCCATAAATACCGGGTATTATAGCTTGGACCGTATTTTATCCCAAAATGTCAAGCTTCGACGAAACTCATTTTCTTCGATTCGCTCGCCCTCTCACCTTCACGAATTTACTTATCACTTGCTTGAAATGACATAATACTTATAATCTCAAAATAATCTCATTCCCGAGCTTACGTCAATTAACTTACGAGGAAACTTTAACGTACGAAAACGCGGGATGTAACATCTCATTTTCGAGCTTTCATCAATTTACTTATGGCGTACTTTCACATACGAAAATATTGGGTGTAACAGTTACCACTTATCACTGAATATCTGCACACAATACAACTATTTGTTTTTCTTTTTTTCAATTCAAGTGGCTCTTGCTTTTTCAAATCAATGCACCTTTCTCCTCATTTCATTAGTTCCACTCAAAAGCCAAACCAACCACCCCACACTTCAACTTTTACAAAGTTCATAACAAATTTAAGTGCTCATAAGAGGTACAAGGTTAGATGGACAATTCAAATAATTGGGTAAAGCTTGTAATGTGGTTGCCAAAGAAAGATGATTACATACTCAATGGGGTTGGCTATGATTACATAACAATTTGGTGGGTAAACTATATATCTGGCTCAACAAAGAAACGCCTATATCACTTCCAAAACTGGACAAAACTACTATTTCGCTTTGCAAAGACATATGGCAAGTTCTAGACATCAAATGCAATGCACAGAATACACCAAACCTCACACGCACATGGCACATGATTCACTCAAGATTAGATCATCAAGACACTCTAGTTAAAGTAGTTAAGCAAAGTTATGAACATACAATTTAAGACACTTATACAAGAGTCAAAACCTGAGCCTAAGCATCACAACTAAAAACACTCACTATTCTCAAGACATAACGAAGTTAAGAGATATTTCTTCCATTTCAAACTATAACACAAGGTTTCCTACTCCTAACAAAAATAAAAACTAACTATACCCGGTTCAAACTAAACCCTTGGAAAAGAACCGTGGCACAAAGAAAAACCAATGGGGAATTATTACACTACCTACCAAAAAAAAATCTTTTTGTATTTTTCTTTTGACTTTAATCTCTCAAGAAACTCGTCGAATGATATCCATCATCGGAAAAAGTTGAAAATTTTAAAATTTTATGTTTTTTGTTTATTTTTTTTCAATCAATATTTTTTCTATCTCTTATACTCAAACTAACAAAAGCAAACTAAAACTAATATACATTCATACATATATAAACATATCCCCCACCCCACACTTTAAATGGTGGCATGTCCCCATGACACACAAAGAAAAATGCAAGGTAAATAAAACTTCCCTAATAGAGTCAGTCCGTGTCGGAGACAGTGCCGTGGTCTAGATGGCAAGCCCGGCCAAGTGCACGCAGCCATGCTATGGCCTTCGTCTCAGACTTGGCATTTTGTGTAGCTAGGGTATCCACTCGAACTCCCAAGTATGTGACAAAGGTACGCATCCCCGCCATCTCTTGCTCTAAGGCGCTCATTCTTGTGTCCCATCTGTCATCTGAGGTTTCCCCAACAACCTGCTCGTGCGGCATGGAAGCATCCACATCCTCATCTTGCACCTCATTACCATCTTCGGATGCATCAAACTCATCACTATTTGCCTCAATAGGCCCAACAGGGTCTTTCGTAATTACTGCTTTATCAGCCCCGAAGTTTGGTTCCTTTTTGACTTTCCCATCCATGTCCCTATTTTCCGGTACACATGCCTCACGGCATAACCGAGTGATTAAGGATAGAAAGAAGAACCCATACCTCTGCACATGACAACTAATGAACATCTCGCCGTGAATAACCTTAGCCACATCAAAATCATGGCCATTGATAAAGCACCAGATCAGTGTAGCCCGGGGACCATTCACCTCAGTGGTGTTTGAGGAAGGCAGCAGACGACTATTTATAATGTAGAGCCAACACTTCCCTTCAAATGTAAGCGATGCCGAATGAAACTTCCGCCCCGGCGTGACCCACACTACCTCCTTATTGGGCACACAAATTGTTCTAAAGAACAGTTGCCACATGGGTGGTTCTCTGCTATACGTGTCATAGTAGTCTTCTGCTTCAGGATTTTCCCCAAACACTGGCAAATAGTATGCCCTTCGAATGGCCTCTGTGGATGCGTCCACACTCTTCTTTCGAACTGTGCAGACATGGTTAATTCAGGAAATTCACATAAAACTCCCGAACAACCATTTAGTTGGCTTCGTTAGGCTATTCAAAATATATCCCCAGCCCTCGCCCGATCAATTCACAATACATGTTGGGGCAGTCATTTTGGAGGAACCCCATATAAATTCCCCTCTCTGGTAAATGGCTTCTTGCGTGCCTTATTACAGAAGTGTTCCTGGTTGCACTGGATACAAACTTGTTATTATCATACGGGCGAGCATTAGTAGAAGCTCGCGGCCGGGACGAGCCAGCGTGGCCACTGGAGGAGACACCTGTAGTTTTTCGTTTCTTGGACGGCGTCATACTATGTGTAACAAACACCAAATATCTTCTATAGGCACAATGGGTGAACCAAGAGCGGTTACTCAGACTTCACCAGCACACGTGGTCACAAAATTACATTCCCAAACTCTTTATGGCATTTATATGAACACCAGATATGCACAGTTGTTCCGAACCCCCACATAACAATTTTTAGCCCCCAATTCGACGAAGGATACACCAATATCATACCTAGCCCATCATGGTGAAATTCAACTATTACCTCATAAAATAGCGAGTATAACTAGAAAAAAAAAGCACTAACAAAAATTTACTACAACTCAAGAAAAAAGAAATAAAAATAAACTAAACTAAGAGGGGGAAAATATCTCACTTACCTGAGGGGAACTTGTGAGGATGTGGGGGATAGGGGAAGAGTAAGGGGGGGCACTGTCAATTTATAGTGGGAGTAGANTTCCGAAATTACTTAAAGGAATAGAAAGAGGCTTACCTATATGCGGTCAGTGTGCGGCCATGCATATTGGGCAGTGAGGCTCTAAAAATGCACGGCCATATACGCGGTCAGTGCGCGGCCATGCACGTTGGGCAGTGAAGGTCTGAAAATGCGCGGCCATATGCGCGGTCAGTGCACGGCCTCACACGTTTGGTATTTTATTTCCAGTAACACTTCCTACCTTTTACGACATGTGCCTTCCGGTACCTACTACATCATAGTATACACTAGTTTCTATCTATTCTATGCTGTCAACAAATGTGAAGCAGAAAGAAAAGAAAATCTAACTAGCAAACGAGTTAGAGGTAGCTCTGGGTTATAGTCGTCAACTTGACTCAACCGGGCATCCTCTGTTAAATTTGATGCTCGAGGATTGCTGTGCAAATCCTCCAACAAGATACAATTTTAGTCTGTGCCCATTTACTTTGAAACTTTCTGTTCCGTCTTGGTTCTGGATCTCAATTGCCCCGTATGGTGATACATGTTTCACCACATATGGTCTTGTCCATCTAGACTTGAATTTTCTGGGAAATAATCTAAGTCTACTATTGTATAGTAAGACTCTGTCTCCTTCATAAAACTCCTTTGGCTTAATCAGACGATCATGCCACCTTTTAGTCTTTTCCTTCAAGATCCGCGCACTTTCATACACGTCGAGTCTAAACTTTTCCAATTCATTCATCTGCTCCAACCTGTGATCACCTGCAAGACTAAGATCAAGAGCATCTTAATTTCTCAATATGCCTTATGTTCTATCTCAACAGGTAGGTGACACGATTTACCATACACTAATTTGAATGGCGAAGTCCTTAAGATCGTTTTGAACGCAGTTCTAGATGCCCATAGTGCTTTATCCAACTTGACAAACCAATTTTTACGATAAGTACTAACCGTATTTTCAAGAATTCATTTTAGTTTCTGGTTGGCCACTTCGACTTGCCCACTAGTTTGGGCATGGTACTTGGTTCCTGTTTTGTGTGTGACCCCATACTTGGACAGTAGTGCAACAAACTGCTTATCCACAAAGTGTGTCCCTTTGTCACTGATAATCACTCGAGGTGTCCAAAAATGGGTAAAGATGTTTTTTCGCAAAAATGCAAACACCACCCGAGCATCATTGGTCCTAGTAGGGATTGCTTCAACCCATTTAGAGACGTAGTCAACAACTACTAGGATATACTTATGAGAATGCGACATTGGGAACGAACCCATTAAGTCAATGCCCCAAACGTCAAAAATTTCACATACCAGAATGGAGTTGAGAGGCATTTCATCGTTCTTGCTAATATTACATGCTCTCTGACACTTGTCACATGAAGCTACATACGCCCTTGCATCTTTGTACAGAGTAAGCCAAAAGAAATCGGCTTCCATGACCTTTGCTGCAATGCGATTTCCATCATAGTGTCCTCCAGCTGCTCCATCATGGCAATGAGATAGAAAGCTTTCCATTTCTCCTTCAGGCACACATCTTCGGATCACACCATATGCACACAGTTTAAACAAGAAAGGGTCATCCCAAAAATTGCTTTTTACCTCACCTTGAAGCTTCCGTCTTTGATCACGATTTAGGGCACGGGGTAACCATACCAAGGCGGCCTTTCGAAGACCGCTGCCATAGAAAAAATATGCTCATCAGGGAACTCTTCCCTTATTTTGACTGTTTCAACTGGAGGTTTCTTAAGTCGAGATAGATGATCTGCGACTTTATTTTCTGTGCCCTTCCTATCTTTTATTTACAAGTCAAACTCTTGGAGCAACAACACCCACCACATCAGACGCGACTTGGATTCCTTCTTACTCAACATGTATTTCAACGACGAGTGATCAGTGTGTACAATCACCTTACTTCCAACCAGGTATGATCTAAACTTGTTATAAGCAAATTCCATAGCAAAAAATTCCTTCTCAGTATTGGCATAATTTACTTGAGCATCATTCAATATCCTGCTTGCATAGTAGATGGGCCTAAACATTTTGTATCTTAGTTTCCCTAGAACTGTTCCCACAGCTACATCACTAGCATCACACATTATATCAAATGGCTGGCTCCAATTAGGTATCACCATAATAAGAGCACTAACAAGCTTTTCCTTTATCAATTCGAATGGTCTTAAGCACTTTACATTGAAAATAAACTTGGCATCTTTCTCTAGCAATGTTGTTAACGGCTTGGTAATGCTGGAAAAGGTTTTTATGAACCTCCTGTTGAACCCATCATATCCCAAGAAACTTCTTATGCTCTTCACCGACGTCGGGGGAGGGAGCCTAGGAATAACATCAACCTTAGCTCTGTCAACTTCAATTCCATGCGCAGTTACTTTGTGGTCCAGGACAATTCCCTCCTTCACCATGAAGTGACACTTCTCCCAGTTAAGAGCCAAGTCAGTGGTCATAACGTTCCAGCACGAGCTTCAAACTCATCAAACAATCCTCAAAGTCATCACCAAAAAGGGTAAAATCATCCATGAACTCCTCTAGACACTTCCCGTTTAAATCGGAGAATATAAACATCATGCACCTCTGAAAAGTGGCAGGTGCATTACATAGCCCAAATGGAATCCTCCTATAAGCAAAAATACCTGACTGGCAAGTGAATGTGGTCTTCTCAACATTTTCTGGGGCAATGGGTATCTGATTGTAGCCTGAATACCCATCCATGAAGCAGTAGCATCCGTGTCCAACCACCTTCTCGAGCACTTGATCAATAAAATGGAGTGGAAAGTGGTCTTTCCTTGTTGCATCATTTCAGCCTTCTATAATCAATGCACATTCTTCACCCGGTGACTGTTCTTGCGGGGATCAATTCATTATCTTCGTTTTTCACCACTGTCATTCCCCTATTTTAGGTACAACTTGCACTGGACCAGTCCACTGGCTATCAGAGATGGGAAAAATCACTCCCGCATCTAGCAATTTGATGATCTCCTTATGCATTACCTCCTCCAAATTTTTGTTCAACTTGCGTTGAGGCTGCTGATAAGTGGGGATTTTGACTACTTATTTGCACACTTTTTACTTTCGCTTTAGTTCAAAAATGTTAAAAGGCATTCACGAAAATTGATAAAATATGCTTACTTGCAGGAGTATTGGAAAATGAGCCAAAGTGATGAAATTCAACTCAAGGAGTGTTTTTGAACAAGAACAAAAGTCATGCAAAAAGCCCAAAGTGTGGACCGCAGAATTTTGTCTGCGGCTGCAGATCATGAAGGAAACTTGACAGAGCTACTTTGAAAAGTGCGGGCTGCACAATAATTGTGCGGCCGCAGAAGACAAAGATCAGAGAGTTCCACATCTGAGACCATCAAGAAGTGTGGACCGCACTATAATTGTGTGCCCGCAGAAATCAAAAGTGCGGCCGCACTCAAAATTGTACGGTCCGCAGAACTCAAGAAGTGCGGACGTAATTCAGAATTGTGCAGCCACAGAAGCCACTCCAGTTAAGAATTGTAGCAAAGTGAGGACCGCACATAGAATTGTGCGGCCGCAGAACCTCCGAAAGGGCAATGTTTTTTCAAAACTTTCAGCTGTGTATAAATAGTCTTTTTTGACGAAATTAGGTTAAGTTTTGAATATCTAAAAGTTGGTAGCCGTTTTTCTTTACTGTTTTAGGAAAATTTATGATTGTTTATCAATTTTACATTGAATGTTCATCTCTTTATCATTTAATATGAGTTTAATCATCATTTCTCCTTTATTTTCTTCATCCCCCACTATGATGAGATAGATTTCTAGCTAGGGTTGTGACCCAACCCTAGTGTGGGTACCTAATGGGTGTTTGATTTAGGGTTTGTTTATGGTTGGGTGTGTAATATTTAGTCTAGTTCTTGCTATAATTGAAGAATTAATGGCTGCAAATATTGATTCAAGCATATTTAATTTAGTCTCTACTTGAGAAAGAGAGACTTAGTCTAGGAAAACTTGGTTAACAAGAAATTGGGATGAACTCAAGAAATTAATAGTCCCAATCAAAGGGTTGAATCTAGAGATAGTAAACCCCGACTTGAGCATTTATCGACTGTTTTATGAATTACCCATTTGGGCTTGAGAAAGTCAAATAGGGCAAAACCACTCTATTACCGAGAGGTATTGAGTGAGTAATAATATGTTGATTGCGATATTACACCCCAGCCAATGAAACCCTCTCTAAAGCCCACAATCCACTAGGCAAACATCTAGGTAGAAGTCAAAACCCTAGATCATTTATATAATTGAAAAATAACACCAAAAATATCATTCTCTAGATTTACATTTGTAAATTGTAGCATAATTTAGAAGTAGAGTTATAACAAAGTATGTGGAAGTGAGTCTTAGACACTTTACGCGCTTAGTCCGAGTATATACCTAATCCCATCTACGCTGAGGAATCGATCCCGACTCCTAATTGGGCAATTACAATTGCAATCGACCGCTTCACAACCCCAAACTGTGGTGTGATTTTGGGCGAGATCAATTTTTGGCGCCGTTGCCGGGGAGTTAAAAACGGATTTAGCTATTTATTTGGTTTTGTGTGTAACTTGTCTTTCTTTCCTTCCATGTTACTAGTCTTTTTGGTGAAACAATTGTAGGTACAAAAATGGCTCTCAACCACAATGATCCTCTCGAAAACTTGCCATTGGGGGATAACGGGGAGGATGGCCAAGTTGAAAAGGTTCCTCTTGAACCTCAAGCAAATAGACAAGGCCGCCCGCCTCAATTCAATGTTCCTGTTCCTCCCCCACCTCCACCAAGAGCGGCTCCACACCGGGTGTTTCCAAATGAAGGCTATGCAAGTGCCATAGTCACGCTCCGCATTAGGGCGGGCAAATTTCCAAATCACTAATGTTATGCTCATAATGCTAGAGCAACGAGGATTCTTCACCGGGGCTCCGAGTCAAAATGTATACAAACACTTGAAGGGGTTTGTGGACACTTTCTGGGGGAGTAAACAGACCAACGTCTCCGAGGATACTCTACGGTTGAGGCAATTTCCCTTCTCTCTACGGGGGAAAGACTTGAATTGGTTAGAAAGATTGCCAAACCATTCTATCCGTAGATGGGATGAATTGGAGGATAAATTCATTTCCAAGTTCTTTTTTCTCGGGCATATGGCTACTCTTAGAGACGAGATTCTAGCATTCAAGCAAGAACCCAATGAGCCTTTGCATGCGATATGGGAGATGTTCCATACTATGGTAAAAGATTGCCCAAACAATGACATGACAGAGGCTATGATTCAACAAACCTTATATAGGGGGATCAATACTACCAATCAATGTATGATCAACCAACTCGCCAGTGAAAATTTCATGACAACACCATATGCCAAAGCTTGTGAAATCTTAGATGAAATGGAAGATACTTCATCGGCATGGAAAAGTAGAGCAAATGCTCCTCAAGGTGATCCAAATGTGATTCACCTACATAAAGAATTGCATGATCATGGGCAAGAAATTGCCGACTTGACCACCACAATGAATCAATTACCCAAATATCAACTTCAACAAGTTCAAGGTCCTAAGCAAGTAAATACAAAGAAAGGTGTAAATGTGATAGTGAACAAGCGAAGGCAAAAGGGTCAGAAAGTGCAAAACCGTGTAGAACAATATATGCAAGAAGATAGTGGGTTTGACCAAGATGAATCATACAATGAACAAGAAGAGGAAGTGCAATATGTGAACAACTTCCAAGGGAAAATAAATAAATCTCAAGGCCCGAATCAACAACAATGGCGATCTCAAGGTAAAAAAGATAATTGGAACTCAAACCACCAAGGCAAAATGAGTGGCGGTAACAACCAAGGTAATTAGAACAATCAAAATAACCAAGGCAATTGAAGTGGAAACAATCTAGGATATTTGGTAGGCAACAACCAAGGGGGTTGGAACAATAACCAAGGGAATCAGGGGTCGGGCTTTCAAAGGACCCCGATGTATCAACGACCAAGCAACCTGCCTCCTTATCCTTCCCATGGTCCAAGATATTCCAACAATGAGATGGGGTGAATTGAGAACATGTTCAAACAAATGATGGAGAAGAATGCCGACTCCGATGCTCAACGAGCCTCTCACAACACTTTAATCCACAATTTGGAAGTTCAATTGGGGAAAATCTCGCAAGCTTTAAAAACTCATCCTAAGGGGGAACTACCATGTGACACAGTGGTGAACCTGAAGGGTGGTAATAACACGGGACATTCCATGGCCGTGCCCACAAGGAGTGGAAAAGGTGGGTATGACCCCACCTAAAGTCAAAGAATAATTATGGATGATGAACAAGTAATTCAAAAAGATGAGATTCCAACAATATGGTTCAAGCTAATGACGAAGTGAGAATTAATATTGATAAAAATATGGAGGAGACTCAAGAAGAAGTGAACCCGTCTAGGCAACACATTGTTGACATACCGGAACCGGTAGTGCCAAAGGCTAAGGCACCAATGCCAATGCCTCTTCCTCCATATCCTCAAAGGCTTGATAAGCAAAATGGAGAGAACCAATTCAAAAGGTTCATTGACATGATGAAGAGCTTACCTATTAATGTGTCATTGGTTGAGGCTTTGGAGAACATTCCCGGATATATAAAGTTCATGAAGGATTTGGTGACAAAGAAAAGGTCGATGAATTGTGAGACTATAAAGATGACAAATCAAGTGAGTGCAATTTTGCACTTAATGGCTCCGAAATTAGAAGATCCCAGCGGACTTTGCCAAAGCTCTTTGTGATCTTGGGGCGAGTATCAACTTGATGCCCTGCTCGGTTTTCAAAACGTTGGGGATTGGGCAACCAAGACCCACTTCTATGAGGCTACAAATGGGGGATCGTACTATAAAGCGACCATTGGGTATTATTGATGATGTGTTGGTTTGTGTTGATAAGTTCATCCTCCCGGCAGACTTTCTGATTCTTGATTATGAAGTGGACTATGAGGTGCCTATTATTTTGGGTAGTCCTTTCCTTGCTACGGGAAAGTATTTTGTTGATGTGGAAGCCGGTGAGTGCACCTTCTGGGTAATGAAAAAGGCGGTTTTCCATGTTTGCAAATCTACGAGGCAACCGAATAACACTGAAGTATGTTCGTTTGTGGACTTAGTGACCGAGGTGATTGTTGATGATACTAGTGCCATGATGAATTTTGATGATACTTTGGAGGCCGTATTGCTTAATCATGATGATGATGAGAAGGATGACTATGTGGAATGTGTGAATGCTTTGCAAAGAATGGGGTCGTATACTTATGAACCCCGCAAATTGTCCTTAGATCTTGAAAACCGGAATATTCCTCCAACAAAGCACTCAATCGAGGAGCCTCCCACTTTGGAGTTAAATCCATTGCCTCCACATCTCAGGTATGAATTCCTTGGCCCTTGTTCTAC